AGCCATCTAGCTGAGAAGCAACAAAGCCCATAGGGAAGAAGCACACCAGCCTGTGGGACCACGAGGTGTATATGGGACCAGGTATCAGGTATCAAATTATTATTTTATATCTTACACTGCTAGATATCTCCCTTAACCCACTTTACTGTTGTCCATCCCCCAGGGAGGAGGTTATATGTAGATCCTTGTAATCAGTTCCCCCTTTCTCCCCCACTTTCCCTCCACCCTCCGGGTATCACCACTCTCCGCACTGGTCCTGAGGGGTTCATCTATCCTGGATTCCCTTTGTTTCCAGTTTCTATCTGCACCAGTGTACATAGTCTGGTCTAGCCAGGTTTGTAAGGCAGAATTGGGATCCTTCTGTAGGGACTGATCTCTCCTTATAAAATGTCTCAAAGAGGTGAGATGAAGTTTTGCCAACCTAGTCTCTAAGGAATATTCTCGTTGAAATTTTCCCAACACTTGCATGGTACTTTAAATATTTTGTGCTGATTTATACTCATTGTTTTTATGTGTATATAAATACAACCATTAATACATTTGCTATCAGCATATTAAAGGCTGTGAGTATATGTATGTATATAACATGCATATATACATGCATATATACATACACACACACATACTGCCCTTGAATGAACACACAGTGACCATGGCTTTCTGAAACTATAAAACTTTATGGGAGCAGAAAGTCTGTCTTTGTGAAGCTGCTAATAGGTTGAAGCTTCTGATCTTGTGTTTAGCAGCCCAGTGGCAAACCCACAATGTGACCAGGACTGCTTTTTTACATATATAGGTGGATACATATATATATATATATACACACACACACAGTTATATGTAAATAAATATATATAGGTTATTAATGTAACTGATCATTAATTTGAGACAATGTTACTATCATCGACCAATTATTCAACCACACACTAAAACATGCAAATGTTTGGTTTTTTTAATTGAGCAACCAAGCCATTCTTTAACTATAAATCCCCTTTGAATATATACTTGAAAAGGAACAAGAATTTTTAACAAGCTTTTGATAAACTTTATAAATATTAAACATGTTTCTGAAATAATGGTAATTTATTTTCATATTAAAAATAGACTTTATTATGTTTCTATAAAAACACCAATATGCAAAAGAATAGGACTTAAAGTTCAAAATGTATCAACAAAAAGAGGAGTGGAACTGGAGATCCATTTATTTTATCATACACTAAAGTGAGAAGAGAGCCACGACATTTGTAATGTTAAATGTAAACATGTTCGTCTAGTTTGAAGGTTTACACTATGAAATGATGTCAGTCAAGTGTAATATAAATGTTCAGATAACACTTTTAGTTATCTTGAATTTAGTGCAGTAAAATTTGCATTATGTAGCATTTAAAAATGCGTGGTGAAGATTTTCAGATAAAGACATGAATGAGCAGGCCTTCAAAGGGCAAATGGAGTATTTCTTGCCATGTGCATTGGGTCCTCTGCCAAGCTGCAGGCTTGGTCTCATCACCCCTACACTCACCTCCGCTCAGCCCTCCCCTCAGGCTGCTGTGCCCACCAGTGCTCTGATGCTGACTTGAGTGACATTTCCCTTCAACCCTTCGAGATGGAGCTGTGAAGATTAAACCCAACATGCCCCTTTTCCAGCGGGTGATACATCCCTTCTTCATTTTCTCTGTTGCAGTTTATCATGCTGACATACCTTTTCATGCTGGCCTGGCTGGGCGTCACCGTTTTCACCTCACTGCCGGTTTACATGTACTTCAATCTGTGGACCATCTGCCGGAACACCACCCTGGTGGAGGGAGCCAATCTCTGCTTGGACCTTCGTCCATTTGGTATGTGGATGTTGATTCCTAATGGTGCAAGAACATCTCATATTTTATTATAGAACTGACTACTTCTAAAATAGAATAAAATATTTTGGAACCATCATTGCTTCTGCAACCAAATATGCAAATGTATTATTAACTTTTAAGATAAAGTCTGTAAAGTTAAATAAATAGGAATTAAAGAGTGAGTAGAACTTGATATCACGATATTTGCATATACATAGCTATATAATACGATGGTCAGATTACACTTTCTAGAATTGTTTATGGTTAGAAAAGTGTGGTTGAAATTTCTCTTTTCTGTTGCTGGTTCTTTTCCAACCTGTAAGCACTTCCTTTTAATCTTCCCATAATAGATGGTACAAATTGTGAATTCCAGGAATAATTATATACTTTAATGTCTTCTGTCATAGGAAATAAACAAAGGCATAAATAAATAAAATGATGTTAAATGAAGCTGCAATCTATTTTGGCTATTCTTATGTAGGGTTAAATCCTCTTGACAGAATGTTTACTCATAGTTTTGCCAACTTGCAAATTGTAGACCCTTTTCTAAATCCTTTAAATGTATTAACAACTTGCTTAATTCTCAAAATGATACGTCATACGTGGTGGGTATTATTTCTATTGTGGGTGGGTGGGTGAAGAACCCGAGTGCAGAGATGTAAATGACTTGCCCAAACGTAAAGAGTTACTAAGTTACGAGGAATCAGCTATGCCCTCACCACGTCATCTCTCATCTGGAAACAAATGATGAACCAGGGGTCAAAAGAGGTAGTCGAATCTTCCCTATTTGTCTTTAAGCCTACTGGGATTCTGTTCCCCACAGGTAAAAATAGCAGTTATAGGATTTGCAAAACATTTGCACATCCACGTGTGCATATACAAATGCATTCTTTTTCACTCAACAGATATTAAAAGCCTATATAGTAACATCTTAGACACATCAAATTTTTTTCTCTAGTGATTTTCGCTCACACCTCAGAAAAGTGGGAAACAGTATACTCAATAATATCCGAACAACTTGAGGATCTATAATGTGGTTTCGATAAAGAACTAGATGTGAACTTGAGAACAGTTGCCCACCCTCCATACTGCTAAGAAAAAGTCCTGAAGAGCGCTGATGGGGAAGGGGTTCAGAGTTGGGCAGATAACCTCAAGGAGAGCCATGAGAAGCCACCAGCTACACCACAAGAGAAATGCTTGGCTTCTCCTCCTGGGCAGAGCTGTAGTCTCAGAACTCCACAGGGGCATGCTACCTGGCCCTGTCGAGTTGGAACAGACTCGAAGGCAGTGAGTTTGGTTTTGATTTTTGGTAACTCCACACTATAGTTTGATTCCGATTAAAAGAAGATGGGTCGGCTTTATAAATTAACTTCTTGACAAAAAGAGAAAATATGGCTGGTACTTATTTTAGGAATGTCTTACTATTGGAATCTTGGTACTTATAAATGCAGGAAAAGCAGATTTCATCAGTTTTTATAACTTCTTAGAAAACCGTGGCTCAGAATTCAGTCTGCCTCATTCAATGATTTCTTTTTTATCTGTTGAAGTTAAAATTTAAAAAGATATGGCCAGCCTTTGAGATCAGGTTTCCAAGTAAAATATAGGAGTCCTGGTTAAATTTTAATTTTAAATAATACGATTTTCAAAAATTACAAGTATGTATTCCCAAATATTGTTGTGTGGGACATATTTTTACATGACTATCCAAAATATCCTATGGGACACACTTTAACACATATTTGATGTTTATATACAATTCAAATTTAACTAGAAGTCTTATATTTTTATCACTAAGTCTGTCAACCCTACTCTCAGAGCCTGTTTCCCGCCTGAGAGTGTCATCACAGGACTAGTTTGTGTGGATAGGCTGTGTTTTCAAGACTACATGGTAGTTCATGTAGTTCCAACTGGAAGTTGGAAGCATTCTATTTCTCATGTGGTGGTGAAGTAAGAATCTGTTAAGCAGAGGATTACAAGAGGAGTCAAGAAAATTTTCATTTTTCCCAAGTTTGATATTGAAAGAGAAGGAAGATTTATCTTTAAAATATGACTAGATGGCTATTATTTTATTTTTCCTTAATTCTCTGTGTATTCATATCCTTGTGATTTCATAATTTATTTTAAAATATATATTCAGACTTAAACTACCTACTGCTTTTAATCCCTTAACATTAACCTCAGAATATGGGTTAGAAGCACCAAATGTTAACACCAATCTATTGTCTGATCAGAAATAAAAGGAATGCTAACAGGTGAGTGAACTTTCCCAAGCATCGAGCTGTTTCATAGGGCCACCCTGAGATTGGAAAAGTAAGTGTGCTGCATCTTGAGGCACTTGTTCTATCTAATAGTTTTTCTAATCATATTTTTTAAAAGCCACCTTTATCATAAATTTAAATAAACCACTACTATATGTAGTCAAGAGAATGCTCCCTACACACACACTCACACACACGATTTCCACTTCCTAATTCCTAGAATCTGTAAATACATCATTACATGTCAAAAAGTAATTAAAGTTTGATGCTGACTAAAGTTGTTTATCAAATGACCTTAAAATAGGGAAATTTTCCTGGATTATCTTTATTAGTCCAATGTTGTCACATAAGCCATAAGGAGTCAGTCAGAGGAAGATGTGGCTACAGAAGGAAAGCACACAAAGGTGCAGGATTATAAGGGACCAAGCACCAAAGAATGCGGTGGCCCCTAGAAGCTGACAATCATATGAGATCTGCTTCCTTTAGATTCTCCTGAGGGGAATGCCCTGGTGACACTGCCAGGCAAGTACTTGGCCACTAACCACATAGCCGGCTGGTTAACCATAAACCCACCCGCTGTTCCTCCAGAGAAAGAGAAGGCTGTATGATCCCATAAAGATTCACAGCTTTGGAAATTCTATATTCTAAATATAGAATATATATTTTTAAAATTCTGTATTCTAAATTCTCAGTAAGTCAGAACTGACTTGATGGCAATGAACTGAGGCTATTTTTAATAACCTCAAGTTACTGAGGTTATCTAGTGCAGCCCTGAGAACACCCTCATTGATTTTATTGCTGTCCTCCAGAACTGTAAGAGAATGGATATGTGGATATAAACCATTACATTTGTGGTAATCTACTGTAGTACCAAGAGGAAGTCAATACACCATCTAAAACTAGAGTCCATAATTTCGTTTCATAGGCTTGCTATTTATTATTTTTTGTGTGTGACCCTGTGTACTTAACCATTATAGTAGTTCCACTTCGGGGAAACCCACTAGGGTTGTGTTTCTCTGACCATTCTCCTGAATGATTAATTATTCTTTGACTAGTAATCGAACATATTGCAAACCCTGAGGATCAGAATATGAGTATCTTTGGAAGGCCAAATGATGTCTATTCTGATCACCAAAGATCCATAGCCATCTCAGTTGCATAATGCAATCACACCATCCAAGTGTCCAGTGGTTTTATCTCAGAGCAGCATCGATGTCCAGGAAAAAATGTAATCTATGTCTTATCAATTCAAACTTTGTTGTCCTTCTAATAAGTGTCCTACAGTAGGAGCGAAACATAACTATGTTATTCATAAGACTGTACTTTTTGCCTCAAAACTTCTTTCAACATAATGACACTTGATCCAAATGTTACTCTTTGTTGTGGATGTGAAAGAAAGAAAAAATATGTTTCAGATGTCCAAGAAAACGTAACATTAGGTACTGTGTCCTTCTGCTTATCCCTTCATATAAAATCTACTGTCAGAATCAGGTAGCTGTCCTCAATATAGTATGTCCTATTTTCTAATAAGAATCCTAAAGACCCCGGTGACGAGGGTGAAGAACTCAGCTGCCAATGGACAGGTAGGCGGTTTGAACTCACTAGCCACTTCATGGGAGAAGATGTGACCATCTGCTTCTGTAAGACTACAGCTTGAGACACCCAGGGGGCAGTTCTGCTTTGTCCTGTTGGGTCTCTAAGAGCCGTAATGAACTCGGAAGCAATAGCACATATACAATCAGGTTACTATCAATGTCATTTAAGTAGGAGAGTAGGAAAGAACCATCCCTCAACATTTTGTTCATATTCAATATTAATATTCATTAGCATTCTCGTAAAAGGTGGTGAGCAAGTAAGAACACACGTTGAAGCAAATTTTCTTATTTTTTAAGGTTGTTCCTTGAAAAAAGCCTGTTTTCATTCCTCTAAATAAATAAAACTAGTAGCACCCTGAGGACTGTCATCATGTAATTGCTCCTAAGTATACAAATTATAGTTTGTTGTAGAGTGCATCTCACTGTGTGTTCCTGTGTAAACAATAAGCACAACTATTTCAAACAAACCTAGTGATAAGAGGGGGCATTACCTAATAGAGTTGATAAATTTTAAACTACTTAATCATAGTAAGATTTCCTCTATTTCAAAATGAGATGCGATATAATTTTACTTGCCTTTACAAAGTTTTTTAAAAATTATTTTTATCTTACAATTTTATTACTGCTATTTAATAAACAAATGACAGTGGTTGTTTTAAAGGTGTATACCATAAGTAAAATAGAGCCACAAAATGTCAAAACTGGTCCCCATTCACTGGATCCAAAGTGTTAACCTGTGTTCCCCTGAAACACTGAAGGTCCCTCGAGGATAAACACAAAGAGAAAATGGCCCAAGCAGTTGAAGCTACTTCCAACCTTTTACCCAATCTACTGCCTGCCCAGCTCACTTACACACTTAAGTAGAGCAATTTGCTTTTCTCTGATCTCCATACTGCCCCCTTCACTAGGATTTTATTTCGTGCATTTATTCATATTTTATAATATGATATTTATTGAACACCTATATATTTAAGCGCTGCTAAAATCAAATATATATATGTGTGTGACATAAAAATCAAGTTTAGCAAATATATAGCTCATTGATCTATTCCATCGTTCATTTTCCAGAGAACGGAGCCATGCCATAAAGTAATTGTTTGAGATCAAACACAGAACTGAGATTAGAAATCAGCACTTTTGATCTTATTCCATTCAATTCACAAGAAAATTGTAAGCTAGAGTACAAATTATATATACATTTTAAGAAGAAATATTTTGTGTATGTAGTTATGCATCATATCCAATTACAGCATTGTGCTTAGTTCTGCTGAATAATTCCTCATTTGAAGAAAGCATGGCTGTATCTTTCTTGTATACATGATTCATTTGTGTAATTTACCTCGATATTATTCCATTTTAAAACCAGTAATGTGAATGATAATTTCTCTGAAATTTAGTCATTTATTTTTCATAGGGTGTTATTTTTCTATGAAAACCCATACCAACTCGCATTGAGATGATTTCGATTCATAGCAACTCTATAGACCAGAGGAGAATTGCATCTTTGGGCTTCCAAAAGTGCTTTAAGGAAGAAGAAAGGTTCATTTTTCTCCCATGGGAGGGGCTGTTGAGTTTGAACCACTGACCTTGCTGTTAGTAGCTCAATACTACACTAGGGCTCCCTATCCACCTGTACGGTACCATAATATCTTAATTCTGTCTTCCTCCAATCTAAATGAAAACTTTCATAACAAAATCTTACACCCATAGATGTCCTGGAATGATCATAGGTTTATATTGTCTTGGGGATGAGTGAATCAGTAACTGTGCAACAGTAGTACTGATAGAAACACCGCAGAGAATATTATAAAAACCAAGGCATGAAATATGAATGTCTCAGACCAGAATAGTAACAACATAGGTGAAAGAAGTGGTGTCTGATTGAGGATGTATTTAGAAACTAGGGACAGCAAAATTATCTGATACGTTGGATGTGGTAGATGTGTGCGTTGGGTGGAGGAGGGGTGGGAGAGAATTCAAAGAGGACTGTTTTATTCATGAGGGAAGACAGTTCTACTATACAGCGAGATGGAAAAAGCCAAAGAAAAATGTTACTTGGAATTAGGGCAACCAATAAAGGAATATCAGAAGTTTAATTTCAAATATATTGATTTTTAAACTCTTATTAGAACAAGAAGAGTTATAAAACATGAAGTTGAATATATAAATTACGAGTATAGAAGAGAGGCATATCCTGGCCAAATTGATTTAGAAATTATGGATGGCATTAAAAGTTCTGAGGCTGGATGATCAAGGGAGGAAAGAATAGGGAGGACTGAACACATAGTTACCACAACTCACTATGTCGAAGGAAAGAGGCAGGACCTTTGAAGGAAAATGAAATGGAGGAGTCAATAAGAACAGAAAGACATCAAGTAGATACTGTGATATGTTGGGACCCAAATGACGCAAGTGTGTGAAGGACGAAGGGTAACCAGCGTCCAACACCACTGAGTGATTAGCAAGGAAAATCAGCACCGAGATTTCGGCGTTGGTTTCACCATCTGGAGGTCATTCTTCTTTCCATGAAAAATCTCCATGGAGGAGATATTTCCAAAAGCTGACTAAAAAGTATTTAGATGGAAAGGAAAGGGCAAGAATTAAAAGATAATGAGACTAAGCAACATTTTCTTAGAAAATCCTGCTGCAAATGTGAACAAAGAAAATGAATAAATAAACGTATATACAATATGAATGAAGACTTTAATCCCTAGGTATAGACACCATCTTTACTAAAAATACACTTTCTTAATAATGGTTATTTCTTAAACAAATATTGCAGGGTATTGTTTCATTTATTTGAAATATTTTATTTTTTATTTTTATTATTTATTATTTATTTTATTTTTATTTATTAGAAATATTTTTGCAGAAACATCTCTGCATTTGATGGGTAAAAAGTAGATTTTTAAAACAAATTTATCACACAGAAAAAATATCAGAGAATGGTTGTGTTCTGTTAGAAAGCTACAAAAAAACAAAACTGCCATCTAGTTGATTCTGACCATTACTAACCCTATGGGATGGGACAGAACTGGCTCTCTGGGTGTCTGTGCGTATAACTCTTCACAGAGTAGAGAGGCTCACCTTTCCCCGCTAGGGGGGGAAGAGTACTGAAAGCTTAGAAACAAGTTCCTGTTATGTATTAGTATTTTGTCTTTTCTTCATGTAAGTATTTAGCACTTCAGTAGTTCTCATGTAAAATTAAAGAGTCACTTTCAGGTGAACTTGATTACTGTTGTACTCTGAAATTAAATTTAGAGCAGTAGACATGAATCACCAGTGAGTTTTTTAAGCTTGCAATATTCCAGGGTTAACATTCATAGATTATGATTTAACAGTTCTGGAGCCCAGAGATATTTATCTTAATCAATTTCCCCAGGCAATTCTGATTGAGTTGGTTCATGAAGCAATTATAGCAATGGTAAATAAAGAGAGAAATGTCTTCATCTTCTTCTTCTTTTTAATTCCCCTTTACTAATAGCAGTTATACTTGTCAGTAGAAGAATAAACTATTACTTTAGAGACTAACAGAAGCTTTGTTCCAACCGAACAAATGCTGACTTCAGCATTGTTTAGGGTGTAATTACCAAAAGAATCATGATGCCTGTTCCATCAGTGATAGACAAAACCAACAAACTAGCTATAAGCAAATCTGAAATTTTGATAGTTAGATTCAATTTGATTCATACTGAAAATGTTTTAAAATTCACAAGGCTAAATAGTTTTAAACCTTCAACTTATAATTAGTATCTAATGTATGGGAAATAAAGACCTATATTATAAATGAATGAAAACTGAGGAAGAATTGTTCCTTTATATTATAAAAAAATTTTTTTAATTGGTGTAGGTTTGATTAGCAAAAGTTCCTTATTCTCTCAGTTGGTTCTTGAAACCATTGATAACACTAAGCTATCATTTTCTACATATTGTAGGAATCGTGACCATTGGAGAGGAAAAGAAAATTTGCACTGTCTCTGAGAATTTCCTGAGGATGTGTGAATCCACTGAGGTGAGTGTTTTTCCAGCCTTTCATCTCACGGAATTTTAGCATTCCATTTGGCAATCTAAGAATATAGAATTAAATCTATATCGCATTTCCCTGTTTTTTGCCTTACAGAAGCAATGTTGACATGCAGGATGTTATGCAGGGAGTGGTGGTAGACAATTAATATGCATGAGATACTATGCACATTTCAATAAAACTATTTTTATAAGTATTTTTGTTTTCTAGTAACCCCCCATATTTAATGTGCTTTAAAATGATATTATATCTACAAAGTGATGGCACAGATTCATATTGTTATAATACTGAACGCTATCATTATCAATCATGATTTCATCTTTTCCATGAAATTATAGTAAAACAATGTAGTTGCAAGGATTTAAAAGTTGAAAGGAGAAAAGGTGATTAACTCAATTATTTTCATTGAAGATTCAAAAATTTATTGTTTAGAAGATATCAATAGATATTCTTGCTACTCTCCCACTTTTAATCCTGACCTATGTTTCAGTTTTCTGTGGTTTTCTCTGCAGTTGAACATGACCTTCCACTTGTTTATTGTGGCACTTGCTGGAGCGGGCGCAGCAGTTATTGCGATGGTGAGTCCTACAAGTTCTTATGTTCTATTATGCATCTGGAATGACAACAAAATTAGCTCGCAGAGTTGATCATTCTCCTCCGGTGTCTAATGTCCATATCAATCGTTCAATGCCAGAAAAAAGACGGGAAATAGTGAGTAAATAAATACATTTATAATAAGGCTTAACATAAGGAAAGAGAACCTCAAAATGGAGATAAGAGATACTGAAGCCACTAACAAAAATAAGTTTGTTAGACTTTTTGATATTAAGTCACTATTAATTTAAACATGATCTTTGTAGCACATATGTACAGTATGTCAACATTTTATGAGGAATATAAATTATTTACTTCGAAAAACCTTTTTTCCTCCTTAACATCGAAAATTTTAATATATATTTGTGTATAAAAATGACTAATTTATTCTCTTAAAGTAAATCTCAGAGGTTTCAATTCCTATCTTCTACATCCAGTTTTCTTAAGATATTTTAAGAAAAATCCCCGTTTCAACCCATAATATTTTTACAAGGCCTTGAAGCCACATCTTGCCTCTTTGTTCCCACCATGAATTCCATTCTGCTCACAAGACACCAATTCTCAACAATAAAAACAGACACTGCACATCCGTTCTTGCTGCTGCAAGGGTTTCTGTTATTATTCTTTTGTTCTAGAAGACAGAAGTATAAAGGAATCTAGAATATTCTTAGTAATATTATAGCAGTTAGAAGTAATTCAATATATAAAAATACTTAGAAAATTAAATATATAAAAATTAAGAACTTTTGTTATATTTAATAACTTTTCTTGCACTGCCCATATAATAGCTAATCTACTGTTGAAATGAATAGTTAAAAAAAAAGGTTGTTTTAATCTTTTGTCAAATGCAAAAATAAGAAAGATGAGACAATACTAATACTAAAAAGCCAAATTAGCCCAGTTATTTTTAGTGACCATATAAACTATTTTTATTTTCATGAGGATTGGATTGAGTTTTACTTCATTAAAGTTATTTTTAAATATCTAATAATATTATGACAATGTTAAAATTCATTTTCAAATATTTTCATAATTTAAACATTGCTCAACATCTTAAATATAGTGACTATGAATTTCTATCTAGGAATTTAGTTTCAAAATATGGAATGCTTACTGAAACCTTATTGGATGATTAACTGGAATGATGAAAAATAGGTCATTAGCCTTGCATCCATAGTCAAAAATTAAAATGTGTCCTGTGGACACAATAATATGCCTGGTCATTGATGCTCTCAACACTCATGCTCCCTGAAACTCTTGGCCTGGCTGTCAAATCAAAGAAATATCTCTGAGTTTGTGTTCATAAAGACATTCCCATACAGTAGACAATTTTAAGGCCTTATGTATCATAATTAACATATATAGTAGATACAGATTATTCATAGAGCTTACATATTCATAATTAATATATGCTCACATAAACCCAATATGCATCCATATATAAATAATGTTTTTAAATAAATTTTGAAATGACTTACATAATGAACTATTTGTTTCCTGATTGCATTTGCTCTCTCACTCTGGAATCTAGATATCTTTATATATTTATAGAGAGCGTTATATATTTTTATGTTTAAATTTATAAATACCATCATTTTTACTCTAAACATCAAAAATTTTAAATATTATTATTATTAAATATTAAGCTCTCTCTTGAGGTTATAGCCTCCTATACAATGACATCAACAATCACTGACTCCTTTAGCATCCAATTCCCTGCTGGCTTTAATGATTGGTGTCAGTATTTCTAATTCATTAGCTTTGGTAATAGTTTAGGAGGTAGGGAATATGTCAATTGCTACTATTGCTGGTAACACGAATGGTAATACTATTAGCTAATATTTAATGAAATCTTTCTTTGTTGAAAGCATTATAAATGCCTTCTGTATGTGATCATAATCAATGACATAATATAGCAACTGTCATTATCTTCAATTCTCTTTCCATTTGTAATTGGTTATTTCCCATATAAGTAGATACAAGGGTTTTTTCTTCCTGATAGCACAATGCAGTGAAGACTGTGAACAGACCTCAAGTGTAAACAATTTCTGTCTTTGCAGGTTCACTATCTTATGGTTCTGTCTGCCAACTGGGCCTATGTGAAAGATGCCTGCAGGATGCAGAAGTACGAGGACATCAAGTCAAAGGAGGAGCAGGAGCTTCATGACATCCACTCCACCCGCTCCAAGGAGCGCCTCAACGCCTACACATAGAGCGCACTCTCCTCTCAGCCGGCCGTGAGAATGCTTCCTGTTAAACGAAAGGCCACCCAACTGACAACCATTAAAAACCACAAGGAAAGTGCTTCTCATCATTGATGTGTAGGGTGACTTATGAATCACCTGAATACAATTCTTTGTTGAGTTGCACTTTGCTAATTCGGTAAATTGGTGTAATTAGCTCTCTTCTACAAGCTCCTATCCAGCCCCCTCCTTTTTTTTTAATTTCACAAACTCATTTAATAGTTCTGTAAGATCAAAATTACTAACATTGTCAACTGCAAAGATTTGTTTGATTTTTAACCACTTCCTATGTGTTATGCATAACATTTTTTGCATTACTTCTTATGTTTTTGAAAAGAAAAAATAGCTTTTTATACTTTTGGGTTTTTATTTCGGTAACTAGCTTAACTACAGGTAACCTTCAAAGGGACCATTATACAGTATGAACAACAGACAGAGATGACATCACAATGACTCCTCTTGAAATATGGGTATCTTGGCTGAAGATCAGTGGCCACATTATTGCAGGCCCTGGTTAAGGTTTTCATCCAACTAAGGTGCAATTTCTAAATTTGTAAGAGTAGGTTAAAAAAAAAAGTGCTTCTTATCTTTGTTAACCTTGTATTTTTCTTGGTGTTCTTAAAAGGTATTCCTCCCGGATTCCTCCTGTTTATGTTGTGAGCATGTAGAAACCAGTGATGCTAATGCATGGCTAATTGCCTTCCTAAGACTGTGACACCAGGCTGACCTTTTCAAGTGGATTGTAGAGAAACCCTAACGGAGATAGCTACTTGTGTTCTACAGAATAGGCTGGCATAAGCAGCGGCTGGATTGGAACTTTGATGGTAATATAGAAAGTTAATTACCTTTATGAAGGTGACGTATTCAAAATAAGCACACTAAGCTGTCAGAAGTTGTTTTACCTGCTTTAAAAGTTTTGATGGATTGCACCTCTGTAAACTATCCCTAAAATGTGTATGATATATTTGAAAAGGGTTCCATTAATATAATAGCTTTGCTTGCAGCCTTCCAATCTATGTTGGTTTACCTGTAGTGTTTTTAAAAGTGTGGTCAGAAGCCACAATAGAATGTTCCATTTTGGAGTGTAGTGGTAGATTTGTGTTTTTATTTCCAGCAAGTCATTTTAAACTACTATTCATTCATATTCATTTATAAGAAGAACCTGTATCAAAGGAATTAAAAAAAAGAGCAATCAGTATTATCAGACCAAATTTGGTGTTTGTTTTAACCTTGACTTTCTTCTTTTATTTTCAATGCTACAAGAATGCTGTAAAGTGTCTTTGAATATGATGTAACCTGACAAGACATTTTTGTCAGTGATCAACACTAGGTAGTACTGCGCACTGATTTGACCATTGTGAAACCCTTTCTCAGTGTAAGTGCATTTCTAATAAAACTTTATTCAGTGAACCAATCTTTGTGCAATGACTAATCATGCATCATCAGTGATTTTACAAGTTCTTGTAGTACGTAGAGAGGGAGTTCTCTGTGGCATGATTATGCATTCTGTAGAATTATTTAAGTAATTGGGGGTTGGTTTTGCTTCTTTTTTTACACTTCGCTTAACTTACCGGTCGAGCTTTTTCTGGTATACACAGTATTACATATATCCAACAAAAAAGTATTAATGGGCTTCTTTCAATTCTATATTATAGTGTTTCAGTTCTGTGTCTTAACTGTTTGTGATGATTTTTAAAACTGTCTTTTAAACTTATGTAATGATGTTGACGCTTTTGGCTTTTTTCTGGTATTAGAGTTTGTATTTTCACAGAGTGCTTTGTAACAGGCATCCTAACTAATCTGTTTTGTACATCAACGTGCCAACAGCTTGACGGTGGCGTTTTTGAAATGTAGAACAAAGTGCTTGCAAAATGTAATAAACACACTTGTGTCATTTGTGTACTTAGTATTAGTTTCTGCTGTGTTTTTTGTTTATTTGGGGGGGGGAGTTTATTTCTCTAATGTGTGTACATTTCTTTCCGACAAAAGAGGCCTTATCTCTTCATTGTTCTTATGTCGGTTCAGTTGACCTAGAATTCAAATTCCTGTCCACATTCTGTGTGAGGACATGGAGTGTGGGAGTCCTAAGGCAGCCAAGCAAGGATGGGAAGTGGGTAATGACTTTAGAGGTCTTTTTCCTCTAGCAACTATTCCCTAGGGGTTTTATGTCTCTGCCTACTTTATCTCTATTATTTTTGTGATTTCCTTAACCAAAGACCAAACCTACTGCGATTGAGTTGATTGTGACTCACTGAGACGCTCAATAGGCTTTGTCTTTCTCAGAGCAGAAAACCCCATCCTTTTCCTGCTGTGTGGTTGCTGGTTCTGAACCCATGAGCTCGACATCAGCAGCCCAACACTTACCCTTCACTGCCACCACTCCTCTGTGCACCTTCCAGCTGTTCAAGCCAACACAGAAACAGGACTCATGGAGTCCAGAAAGAAAAAGGAGGTCTTGGTTTGCTGCAAAAGGTCAAGAGGAGAGCAAGGGAATGAAGCCCTCTTTTCTTAGGCTTTCTGTTATGAATCTAAGTTTTTAGGGCACACTACAAATGATATAATTTAAAATCGTTAGTTATCAAAATATTAATATTCATAATGCTTAAAAATTTACTAATTTTCAATTGTATGTAAACAATTATTAATTGAACCTTTGGATTTTTATGGATTTAGGTTAAAAATAGCAATAATAACTCTAAATAGATCTGGACATTATTGTGTTGTTTATATTTTAAGTAGTCATTTGGAAGTCAATGAGAAAATTATCACCTATTTAAATCTAACTTAGTTATAGATATTACTATTTCATGTTATGAAAATTTTAGCTTAGGAACAAAATAACAAAGAATATCACACATGCACAAAAATTCTTAGTATACGCTTTTCAATCTGGCTATTAAAAGATCATTACAACTTGGGAAACTGAAAGTCTGTTTATTTACAAAAATATGTATTTTTTAGTTGAAGGGTTTAAAATCTGGGATGCAAAAGGATAATGCAGGCATAACGAAATTATACAATGTGAGAATAGAATGTGTGTTATCTAACTCTAAGGGTCTAATTAGATTTTTTTGTGTGTATTAAAATAAAGAAATAGAAGATTGTTATTTGTGCAGTAAAAGGCCAGGTAAACTTGTCTTTTTCCTATTCTTTTATTTTTGTTTGATTTTTTTGGCAAAACAAAAGATATAATTTTTAGGTATATAAGTGGGACCAACAAGTTAATGGAAAATTCTTTTAATTAAAATTTTAGACAAATTTTCTTAGGCCCTCCCTTCTATTTCATTTAAGTAACTTGAGAACTGATTTATGCTGGCAATGTTGAAATGTAAATTAAACCATGATATCTGAAAAAAAGGGTCAAGTTTTCCATGTTGTTTTCAAAATCTACATAATTTTAAATCAATGGGGAACCATGTTTGTGTGAAATACTGCTAGTTCAAATGTAAATACTTATCTACTGATGAAATAAGCTATCTCCTATGTTTATCTTTAACATGCACACTTTTTTATTTTTGGTTGCTGTAGATTCTTTTCCACTATAATTCCATCATATTTGAATATTTAAAAATATTGACATCATATCAGAATAATAAAAAAAATGTATCTCAGCCAGTGTGTTCCAAAATTGTGTAATTTCCTATTGTTGAAATACACAACAGAAACAAATAGAATAAAATCTAAGAAAGACAAAATTAACTGAGAAATATCAACCCAATAAATATGCTACTATTGTTGCTTAATAGGGAAAAATAAATAAGTTATTGATAGATTTATCTCACTATGGGGGAAAATATACAAACTACAAGTTAAAAATGCAAACATAAAAACAAAAATTAGACCAAGACATAACAGACATGATGGCAGTGACTTTGGAATTTTGGAAGTGAAAAAAAAAAGGCCAAAATGCAGCTAAGTCCGCAAATTCTATTTTCATTGAAGTTTTTCCCCTCACTCAAGGCCCTTGAGAACAATTTAAACATTCTTTAGTCTCAGAGGCTTTGAGGCAGAGAAATAGAGGGGCTCTTCTTGTTCAACTTGGCTGCCCATTATATGGCTCTGATTTTGTTGCTTATCCAGAACCTCTTGATTTATGGGGACCGAATGTGTGCAGAGTATGCTGCATAGTTTTCAACGTTGTGACCTATCAGAATCCTAAGGGTCTTTAGGAGGACGAACTTCTAAACCAGCGGTACTCAACCTGTGGGTCTCGACCCCTTTGGGGGTTGAACGACCCTTTCACAGGGGTCGCCCAAATCATAACAGTAGCAAAATTAGTTATGAAATAACAACAAAAATAATTTTATGGTTGGGGGTCGCCACAATAGGAGGAACTGTATGAAAGGGTTGCGGCATTAGGGAGGTTGAGAACCACTGATCTAAATGACTCCCTATTTGTCTAGCATTTAAACACTTGCCCTACTCGGGGAATTTTATGCTTTCATTTAGACAGTGGGACCATCTTTAACTGTTACATAAATGTTATAATTTGTTTGTTTGATTTGATAAGTATATTTGTCTCTTTGGACCATTCTGATAGAAACGCACTTCCTCAGACAAATCCACCTCTATGAGTCCACACTCCTGTGCCATTTCATCTAGATTGCAAGGACAAATATTTAAGAGCATGCACCAAAAGATAAAGCATTCTGGGAGTCATTTAAGAGTCTGCATACAAAACACCAAAAGTTTTCCATTGTTTTGCTTTGCTTCTTGAGGCGGAGTCGGGGGGAGCAGTGGGAGGAGATGAAAGGTAGAGTTGGTGTTAATACGTCTAGGAGGTTCTTGTAGTACTTAGCTCTGAAAATGACTTATACAAGTTTTCATAAATAAATTAATGTCCCCATCATGACTGAGGAACCCTGGTGATGCAGTGGTTGCAGAGTTGGCTGCTCACTGCAAGGTCAGCAGTTCGAAGACACCAGCCAGCTCTGCAGGATAAAGACAAGGTTTTCTACAGACTCAGAAACTCACACAGGCAGCTTTAGCCTGTCCAATAGAGTCATTGTGAGTCACCATCAACTCGATGACAGTACCATGAAATTAACTTTTAGTTCACAACCCAGCAAAGACTTATCAATATGATTCAATAAATTATCAATATGATTCAATAAAAACCCATATAGGTACATTTGTGCTTTCTACTAATGTATACTTAGAATTGCTAAATTTTTGTGCTTTGAGAAAAATATTAACTGTTGTATCCATTGATCTGTATATAAATGCTATTAATCTATAGCTGTAACTGTTTGTATTGAAAAATAAGGGATAGGATTCCAGAAATAAGAAATGAATTTTATAGTACTTCTTATTAAAAATTCTAACATCATTTGAGGGAAATCTTGAATAGTCCAGCAGATTACTACACGCAGATATTGATACTTATTCTCCTATTCACCTAAATGATTCAACACATACACACACACACATTTTCCTAGTTTTGGGAATTAAAAGATTTCCCTTTTTCTGTGTATATAGGTACCTATAATAATTGTTCCATGTATTCTCTTTCTCAGATTTATTTTTCAACAAGAAAGTCCGTTTTTCTAGTAAATAAGCAACAGTGAGAGAACTGGGTGTTCTTGGCAAGTGAATGGAGTTTGACAGGATTGGTTTTCTTAAAATATCATGGCTTTAAAAGTAAACTTCCGAAGTAACTTAAATTACATCTTGTTCTTAATATACACAAAATTTGAGACAAATTCACCTAGAGTCGCCTTGAAAGAAAGGTCTGGCATGCTACTTCCAAAAGTCCAGCCACCAAAATCCTTCCTGGGCACGTCTCTACCCTGACCTCCTGGAGACGCCGTGAGGCAGAATCAGCTTGACAGCAACTGTTTTGTTTCATTTCATTTTTATATTTAAGACTCAGGTTACCTTTCATGTCTCCAAATTTTTAACAAATACTTGAAGCAAAATGGAAAAGAAAACAGGTGTCTGTCAAGCCAGTCAGTGTGCAGTATAGAACTTTCCTCTAGTTCTTTAATGCTTCCCCCCGCCTGCACTCCCCACTATATGATCCCAATTCTACCTTACAAATCCAGCTAGACCAGAGGATGTACACTGGGACAGATAAGAGCTGGAAACACAGGAAATCCAGTACAGATAAACCCCTTAGGAACAATAATGTGAGTAGCAATACCAGGAGGGGAAGGGGAAGGTGGGGCAAAAGGGGGAACCAATCACATATACCCCCCTCCCTGGGGGATGGATAACAGAAAAGTGGGTGAAGGAAGACACGGGAAAGTATAAGACATGAAAAAATAATAATTTATAAATTATCAAGGGTTTGTGGGGGAGGGAGGGGAAAATATGAGGAACTGATAGTAAGGGCTCAAGTAGAAAGAAAATGTTTCAAGAATAATGACAACAAATGTACAAATGTGCTTGACACAATGGATGGATGGATGGATTGTGATAAGAGTTATAAGAGCTCCCAATAAATTGATTTTTTTTTAAAAGAAGAAGAAAAGGGTGTCTGTGAAGCCAAGTGGAGAATTTAAACATTAACTTTAAATATCCTGACATTGGTTAGAGAGGCTAGTGAAAGTTTTCTCTTATTATAGTTTTACCCCCATTCTTCAGCCACACACTCTCTGAGTGTTATAATTTCCAATAGTTATACGCTGAGTCTGGTCTAAGTTTTTTGAACCTCCATCTCTAATTTCCATCTCCTATACTACAGGCTCATTATGAATCAAAAGCTACTCGATGGCAATTATTTTCTTAGTTATAGTAGATCAGTACATTTTAATAATATTATTATTTTAATCATGATTTTTTTTAAAGCTACCATTAAAAAGGAAAAGGAAACTCTATTAACTTCTCAAAAGTGTTAAGACATATATTAGGGTTATTTTGGGGGTTTTTATTGCTTTGTTTCATAGAAAGATCACACTCCAGCAGC